ATTTGTGAGATGAAAATTGATTCCGAATTAATGATATAACTGAAGTGAATTTGATTGTGTGAAATGGTTTTTTTTTGAAACCACTTAGTGTGAATAGTAACAGTACAAAAATGATTTTTGTAGTATTTATTTTTGAAGCTTTTAATTTAACGGAACGTGACCGGTGTGTGACGAAAACAACAAATATCCCAGCAATCGCTCCCGGTATTATGGGGCCCTGGTAACTTGAGACCGTGAACGGTCATACATCGGATGCACAAGGTCATCGTAGCCTGACCGGCGTTTTCTCAAGTGCGTTTTTTAGATTATTAAATACACAAGATAAAGCCAGTTATAAGCTTATACCATTATAGCCACGGCTCATGCACACTGATCGATGTACGCGTCTATGTAAAACCTCTGTTAACCCTAGTTGTGAAATTATTTCATCGTTTTAATTAGTTTAAAATATAAAACAATGTGCTAATTAATCATGTATGTTAAATGGTAACAAATAATAACTATAACCATTGTTAATCTTGCTGCGTTCTCATACAAATCGATGTGTCACACCAATTTTTTTTTTTAGTCGGCGATTCGAGCGTGAAAAACGCGCGACAAGCTCAAAATCGATGTGATATCTCGATTCGTATGAGAATTTTGCAAAAAATACAACATGAGTGTTTATTTTTACATTTAAGATAATTTTCTAGAGATAATTTGAAAAAACCCAGATTTTGAAGATAGAAAAAAATGTTCATTGGCCCATCAAAGTGAGTACATGTATACTAGTATGACCTCATTCGTTTCAGAAACATCCTGTATACTTATACATAGAACGGAGCGCACGACTGTAGTTTATATCAGCGGTTCCCAAACTTTTTTGATTCATGCATCACCAAAACAAAAAAATTCAATCGCTCCTCTTTCGGATGAATAAAATAAAATCTTTTATTAGTGTATAGTACTATATTAATAGTTATAGTGAATAATATGTATAATACCAATGTTTATATCGCGCCTCACAATTTGAGAACCGCTGATCTATATTCTTTATGCCTTACATTATTTACTTTATTAGTTGATTACATATCGTAAATCGTAATAATTGGTATAGTACATAAAATAAGATAAGTTAATTATATTTTAATTTATAGTATATACATTATAACTGAATAAACTTAATATTGTAGAACAATATGTCAATAGGCTATATTTTAGTTACTAACTCTAAAAACATTACCATACGTTATCGCTAGGAGTTATATAAATAGGAGTAGAGTTGTTAGCCTAACTATACAAAACAAGATTGGCAATAATCCCATATTGTAAGACTATAGCTTATCATAGACAATGTCACAGTCACATTGCCGCGAGTACATGGTCATTCCCAGTTCAATTAGAGTTAAAATATATATTTACTTTTTATATATTATATTCAATTAACTGTTTTAATTATCATTATTCAAAATTACAAGTGTTTTTTTTTTTTATCTACCTTTTTCAACAACGCAATAAGTCCATATTGAACGTGCCACGTCATTTAAATAACTATTGTGGTAACCGATCACCGTGTATGTACAGTGATCCAACGATCCTACTCAAATTTAATGACAGATGTGAAGTTTCAATTGAATGTATTTTTGCAAATTTTATTTTCCTATAAACACTGCATTTAAAATGAAATTTTGAACATAAATTATTGTGAATGCATATTTGCATGGTTTAAATAAAACATTTACGTGAATTATAAATGATTAAAGAAAAAAAAATAAAGAAATATTATTCATTAAAAATGAATTATATTGGTTTAAAAGCTGCGTTCATTTTCATGAAACTATAGATCTAAGTGTTTTAATTTTGATTAAATAACGGTCCAACTATTCTAAAATCAATAATACGTATACAAAAAGTAAAACTTTGTTTAAAAACTTATGTTCAAAACCAAATAGCTTAGTCGAAAATCATTAATTTGGATATTATATTTTGTTTATTGGGATATAAGAGTTCGTGGATGTGGGAAACGATGTGTGTATACGCTATTAGTGAGAAAAAACACAAGGAAGGGCAATAGAGGTGGTGATAATGTGAAAGAGAAAAAAAGTCACTTACTACTCTTTATTTTTTGTTTGTTTTTTTTGTACGTAATTCTTCCGCTTAGCAGCCACACACGTTATAATTTCCCCCATTTTCAAAATGCAACGTTGCCATATCGTGACCGATATTCGAGGCTAGTGACTATGGTTAAAGTAGTTGTGTGCGGTGTGGGAGGAGCATTTCTACCGCGGTTTCCTTGTCGATCGTCGGTGGGGTCTGTATTGGGATGGGTTTGGTGGTGCGGTACAACTATTACGAAGTGTATATGTATTCAGTCGAGGTCGTCGTCCATAATCGTATTTCCCGTTATTCAACATAAAAGAAATACCAAAAAAAAAAATTAAAAATCCGTCACGTCCGTGACGCATGGAGGTTTGTTGATGGCGGACCATATTTTTCTAATAACCGGTATAAACCAGTTTAATTTAAGATTCTGAAAGAGAATGTCATTTGTTAACATAGCATTTTTACGGATTTTAGAAAGTTAGATGAAAGTTTTAAATTACTATTAGATTACGAATGTCAAACTGATAAAATGTAAAGAAACTATTTTACGGTTTAAAAACAATTTATTATAAAGGTACATTCAAGATGTTTTTCCCATCTATACCTTTTTTTTTCTGTCAATTATTATTTATTGGCATGCCTCAACTGAAAATATGAAAATTACCTAAAATATTGACGTTATTATATTTGTTGATAATTGAAGATAGTCAAAAAAGTGTTGGTACAATATTAAATATTTATTTGAAAAATAGCATTACTAATTATTTTCTTATTTGAATTGCACACGTTCCGACCGACATTGATGCCACTCAGACGATAAATATATCGTCAGCTATATTCTCATACTAGAACGCCGGCTGCCAGCTATAAACATAAAAGGGTCTCTTAGCCGTTAGAACTCAACGAGTAGAATTACTTTATATTTTTTAAGTTTGGCCAACCGTTTCGTAAAATTAATAGTTAACAGCAATCAGCTGCATTTTAATGACCTTTAATAGCTACTACCGTGACCAGAATCGTTTTACGCACAGGTGTTATTTTTATACAAGGGTCTAGGTCCTCTAAGAGTCATCATATTCATATACTAAGCTAGTATATTTAAGGCAGGACTCAAATCACATATTGTCATTAAGTGTATTAATATTAATACTACACGAAAACACGTCCACAATAACGCAACGCAATACGTTGTTACGTTACGTAATTATATAATAAATTATAATGAAATAATATTTTAGACTACTGGCGTAAGTTTGTAATAACGTATAACAATAAAAATAAACGACGATAATTTTATTCACATATTCTGTTGTTAAGAAATTAAGTAGTGCCGACTGAACAGTGTCTACTGTGTTTGGAAGTAATCCGTGTTGAATGCGTATTGTTTAATGTGATATGACCTAAATTTATACGTATTACAAGTACTTTTTACCTACTAACCTTTAGTCATTTACCTAAATCTGATTCTACCTGCTACATAATATGTCATTTTTGGCTTAATTTATTTATCTTTTTCATAATATTTTAAACAGTATAATTATTTAACACTTACGTACTTTACGATAAGACACCATTAATATATAAAAAAGGAGGAAAATTTTTTTTAAATCAGATTTTGGGATCCAATCGACGATCTTCGTTATTACCTGCTCATATAACTATTAATAATTGTATCTATTTAAATATCGTAACTAGTTTCCGAACTCAGAATGAACGAGTTAAAAACGAATAAACCAAATACAAAAATTAATTAAGCTTATAAAGTTCATAAATCTTAAATTAAAGATACCTACTAAAGTTTCTAGTATGATATCATATGCATACCTATGTCTATAGAAGTATGCCTGTGTAATACAGCCACATTATCTATAGTATATTACTCAATAATATAGCAACAGCAGCTATACAGGGACTATGTATAAATATATTCATATAATATATTTATATTTATTACCTACAGCAGTCAGCAAACGTTTCTATACAATGTGATCCGTATAACGATCAAAAATATAAAAATATTTCGACTGAAAATTTTGTAGGAAAAGTATTTTAAAAAACATAAATAGATTTTGAAATTATGAGAGTTGTCCGATAAAAGAATCGCCCAACATATCGATTGAAACTAAAAGATACCACTGATACCAGTGTTATTATTTTTGTGTACAGGATTAAGTAAACGAATTTCTAGACTGTTATAATCTTAATTTTTATCAGAGAATAGTTTAAAGAATAAAGCGTCGAGTTAATCATGTTCATGTATTTTTAATGTTTAATTGATGCTAGTATTGATTATATAAAACCGATCGTTAGTCGTGTGACTTTTTGCCGTACGATCGGCCATCGATGGATCAGCAATATTATGTTATTAAAAAAATTCGTCTCGTCATAAAAAGTTTAATCGGCCGCGGCCTGGGCGACCGGCGGAGCGACGTGGCAACGTCGCAGTGCGTAAACGTGATCGACGGTCGAGCGCTCGTGCGCACAAAGCGCGGCTCGGGTACCACCTCTCCGCCCCGCAACCTAGTCCCACAATTGATGTGGTCCGCGTTCCCGCGAGGCGGCGGCGGGCCGTCGAACAGTAGTAGAACGACTAGAACGACATCAGTATGTAATATTATGCTTATGCATTACTAGTGAGTTGTCACTAATTCACGCCCAGTGATAATACAAACAATAAAACATTATATTTTATCACAATATATAATATTATTATATTGTGCACAGTGATGTCGCGAACAAAAACGCAATACAAACAATAAATGCTTCCGGACTTTGAACTTTGAACGCCCGTTCCGCCGTAATCGATAGACGATACAGTCACCGCCATCGCCATCACATCAACATTGATTTTTATTATGTATTTTTCTGTTTTAACGATTGCATTGATTGTCCGGCGTCGCGATCCGACTTGGCATGCACGAAATTAAGTAGTGTTATTTACTATTAAACGTACCGGGACAACATTCCCGGCGGATCCGTTTTGGCAGCAGGTACGCCGTTTTGCGAGTAATAATTACTACCTAGTACCTATTCATTGTGGGTGGGTCAGTAGGTGGTTGGAGGGCTTTGATGTTGGAGAGGGAAAGAGGTGTGCAACATTTATTGCCGCTACTAAAGGCTAATGATGTCCAGTTATATCGTTAATCGCTATCTCGACGCTTAAAAATCTGTTATCGACGACTTGACATTAAAATCGGTAGGCTATCGACAGAGCAAACCTAATAATACCTAGTAATAATACAATAATATTAAGTTATTGACAAATGATAAACATAATGATTCAATGGTATTTACGGCGGCTTTGTGGAGGGAGGCTTCATGTATTCGTTGTGTGTTATCAGCCCATCAAATGAATATAATTTACGATGTTGTTTTTTCGCCGTACAAAAAAACTTATTGATTTAAACTACTGGTTTTATTACTGTTCTATTTGTATATGTTGAGCCGGCTGTATTTTAGAACAGGGCAATAAGGACGATCCCCACCTAGATTTTGTATTTTTATGGTATAAATAAAAAATTGTATAAATTGTAAAAAATTGCCTTTAGTGAATGAATATTCCGAAAGAACTTTAGTTTTGAAATTTTTTTTGGGAAAGTAGTAAAAAAAGTCAATCCAGCTCCCCTCTATAAGAAAGACTGAATACGGCACTAATAGTTATATCTAATAATTTATGTTAACGAGGTATAGCTTTTAGTTGTAGATAATTTATTTCATAAGGACAACAATAATTTATGAAATTCATTATTTTTTTCATTTACAATCTTAGGCTTGTAAGTTGATAGCTTATGTACTTACTACATGTTGAGATAAATATCATAATAAAAAAAAAGATTTCAGAACTATTAATTAGTAGACACTAAATCTTTACAAAGCCCATTTTGAAGCGCTGCGCTGACTTGTTTTTATGTTTCTTTGAACAGATTTTCAGATTATAGGTAAACAAAAACTTTATCAGCTGATCGAATATCAGTTCTATGTTAGTTATATCTAGTCTTCATGGTGATGTTATGTACACCTACAAATACATTATACAGTAGTTAAATTAGATTAGCAAGTGTTCTATACCAGGAGCGGTTAACTTAAATAGACCTTAGAGTTTTTCTAGGTTGTCATGATCCACCAAAAAAAAAGAAAAAAAAATTCTCAATAAATAAAAATATATTTGATACACATGCGTTGCACTTTTTCACTACTTTTAATTGGAATATTAATAATTAGTAATAATAACGTTTAAATTAATAATTTTACACAGCACATATTTTAATATATTTTATTACAAATTATTACTTTTAACTTATTATTTGTTTTCTGGAAAAAATTATAGAATAAGAGAAACACGGTCGACCAATTATTGACCAATTCTGTTTTATTCTACTTATTCGAATTTTGAATTTTGAATAAAAATTTGAGGACATTTTGGACGGCAGTGAGGTGTTAACATACATTATATCATAAATATTTATAAAAAATTTTGAACTTTATTATTGAGTAAAGACGCATAATTTACTTATTTACAGACTGGTCGCATACTTTTAAGGGGGAAATGAGTTTCTAATAAGTGGCTTCAATTTTTATCACAGGTTACCAATCTAGTTAATTGTGTATTTCTGTGTATGTATCGATTTACCCGCATATTAACGTATCCATTCAACAGTACCCAATATATTATTATTTGCTGTACTACTTCTGGTATACACTCGGTCACCGAGTCTCAGTGTGTTTTTGATAATAAGTTGCGGTTTTTTTTTTTTTGAAGTACCAAGAGCAAAAACTAAAAAAAACTCGTTTTAACGATAATTTTATGTTATAAGTATTTAATGCTTACTAAAATGTTTGCTAACCGAATTTTACAACGGTTTAGTATTTATGGTACCTCTAATAATACATTTGTAATACAAATTTCTTTCTGATCACTTAAATCACGATTAAAGATATTAGATACTGTGATAGGTACTATGTTTAATCGTGTTTAGGAGATAAAAAACGTCATGTATTGTATCAGTAAACAGCCAAAAACGGTTTTTGGGTTTTTTTTTTGGTTTTTGAAAAACCTGTTTATTTTTATTAACATCGTGAAAACATGCATAAAGATGATTAGGTATTACTAGTGATAAAGCTAATTTTGTATCATTATGATGTGTAAACTGAACATGTCTTAGTAAAGTTTATTTACAAAGGGCATCAATGTAACACCGTAAACTTTAATAAGCCACAAATGAAAGTTTCTGTTCTTACTTAAGAAGACGCTACACAGACATTTATTGTCTCTGTCTTACAAGTGTGTAACATGGACAATTTACGTTCAGTAGATTAGATTTAGCTTCGTTAGTTTAAAAATTAGAATGAAACGACCTACAAAGAAACTTGATGGTAAGAACATTTTCTGTTTGTATGCGGGTTTTTACTACGATAATTCAATGTTTTTAAGTGAGTTTTGAGCATTTTTAATTATTTATATTTTATATATACAAAACTCGCTAAAAATTGAACTATCGTAAAAAACTCACTAAAAAATACAGATAATCTTCTTACCATCAAGTTTCTATATAGGTCGTTTCACTCTAATTTTTAAACTAACGAAGCTAAACCTGATATGCTGAACGTAAATTGTCTACGTTACACGCTTGTAAGACAGAGACAACAAATGTCTATGTAGCGTTCTTTTAAGAGGATGCCACATCCGCTTGTGTTATTAATATTTTTATTTTAAACTGAGTTATAGATGTGTAAAATATTGAAACTTTAAAATGCTTATAACTCACTTTAAAATTATAATATTAATTAAAACGTTAGTGATGGTCTAAATATAATTTTTACCTTTAAGTTTGATAATAGGTAAATTTACTCTAATATTAAAGCTAACAACATAAAATGGATTCTGCTAAACGAAAATCGGTATGTTTTATGTATAAAAAATGAAGATAACACATGCGAGAGTGGCGACCTTTTAATGAGAAAAATGTTTCACTCAATAATTCATTAACATTACACCTACGATATCAATTTGCAATAGTCCAACTAGTGTGGTTTGAATAGACTTCTCTCATGTATTGCATGTAATGATTAAAACAATATAATATAGAGTTTTCCGAAATTTAATTAATATTTTCTATACGTTAACATAGACATCGACGAGTTTACTTGGCAATTGCATTACTCGTTACACTAATGAACCTATAATTAAATGAAATGCAACATGTCATTAATAGGTATACTAGGTACACTATTATTTTTAATACTACACTGTCTTAATTCGCGGTTCAATTTTTTTTTTCACTTGTGTGTAAAGCAAATCAATTGTTATCGGTTTTAGACTTCCACTCTACATTTTTCTTCTATACCAGTAAGAATCGAGATATTATATTAAAATATTGTCGATCTGCTTAATTAATTTAAACTAAACACAGGTACTGATATCATTTTTTACTGGTGAAATTTGCAATTTCAAATATTACAGTACCTACAGAATGTCAACAATATATTAATATTATTTGCGTTATCACATAGCCAAAATACATTGTGTAATTTTCTGCTTTCGCGTAGATAAAATTTACATTGCGTCATCAAACGTAATTTACATTATTAACTGAATTAGTGATAGTAATTATTATCATATAAACCGTGGACACTTATGTATTTGTGCAAGGTATTCTACCTCACATTTCGGTGAAAAAAGTCCAATAAAAACTTGTTTTCAACATTATTATTTTTCAAATATACTGTTAGTTGTTACGTAAATAAAATAAAAACTAATTAAATTAAATTTTACATTTCCTATAACATTTTTAACAACCATAAAATTTTACTGCAGCGTCTACTTAATGCCCCTTTTTAAATCTTCCAACATCCTCTTTGATTTCCAGAATATTTTCTCACCTTAATAAATTATTATTATACTTCTCACACTATCTGTATTTAACCATACAGGCAATATAATTTAACTTCACTAATTCATCCAATTTATTGTTATTTATTTATTTGTTATTATTTTTTTCTTTCTGTGGTTGTATTTTTTTTTAATTTCTCTCTTTTTTTATAAGTATAATTAAAATTTCCAATAATCGTTTAACACTATATCTCAATTGTTTTAACTAATTATATAACTGAGTTAAAATAAAAATATAATATAATGTATATTTTATATATTATTACTTATTATATGCATTAAATGATTTTATATATTATTAGTTAAAAACTATAACACTTTATTTGGAGTTATTAATACGTACGTGTAATGTTGGAAGCCTAATGGTTTATTGAAAATATTGTTTTTAATTTGAAATTCACTTTTAAAATTAAAAAAAAAAAAAAGTATAAATATTAAAAACAATAATCTACAACATATTTATGATTAGATTATTAGGTTCTTAAAACTAAATAAATATAATACCAACTTGAATCTTAATGAAGTCACCTAAAAACAATAATAATTATTGAATTCAAGAATTTTCACCAGACTGTTATTTTGTACAACTTTAGTTCGCACGGTTTTTTACGAGTAGTGAGATCAAAAGCGCATTAGTTCATGATTCCAAATTCCCATTAAAAGTTCATTATAGTGTACATTATAATATAGTGCATTTGATATATAGTATAAACGAGTATTTTATGTTTGATAAGTAACATACGTCTTGTAGCAGAATAAAAGAGGAAAGGTTAAGAATTTTACTAGGTATTTAAAATCGTAGTGAAAACGGAAGACTACCAGTAAAAGTCCATAAACTTTACTATCTCACAGATACCAAGTCTCAATGCACTTTATTATTGTTGTGAGTCGTGATTAGTATAAATAACAGTTTAAAATATAAGATTATAGACATTTATTCAATAACATTAAGAATATTAAATTTGAATTTATGTTATTTTGAATGTATAATTATTATTATAATTTTAGATGAAATCGACAAAATTGTGTTTCTTTGATTCTATCTTTGAGGCAGAAAAGTAAGGAATTGCTTTATTTTTTAATAAATAAATTGATACTAATATATTATTAACTCAAATATTTTGTCAATTATTTAATTACCTACTAGGTAGCAAAATAAGATGAACAAATTTCAAAATGCTGTATTTATTTAATACAAACAATAACCATGGACAACATAGCAGATCAGCAAATTAGAGCTGCAAGAGTAAGTTTTATTTGTATTAGCTACATGATAGCTACAAATATCATGTATAATAATAATAATAATAATAATTCAATTTTTGTCTATAGACATTGTTCAATCTTGCTCACTGTTATTTGAAAACTACAAAAATTGATGTTGAACAAGAAAAGAAAAATATAGACGATGAAAAAGATGAAGTAACAAAAAAAGACACTCAACCTAAAAAAGAGAAAGAAGCAAAAGGAAATAAAAGTAAAAAAATTGTCAAAAAAAAAGAAAGAAAAAAATGTAATTCGGACAATGAATTAGAATTATACTTGCAAGTGCAAGTTGATTCAAAATACCAACAACAAATATGCACTGGTGTACAAAACAAAAATTTAAAAAATGCACAACAAAATCCTGAAATAGAAATAGAATTAAAAATTGAAATTCCAAAAGAACTTAAAAATTCGTATCTTGAAAATGTTGACAGAGAAAATCTTTTTGAAGAGGAAGCTAAGAAAAAATTTAAAAAAAGTAAACAAACTGAAAATAAACAAGAATTAATTAATCAAGAAATAAGTGATGATTCAGGATTTCAAAATAACCCAGAAAAAGAAATAAGACTAAAACAAAATATAAATAAAGATGATATAATCGTAGATGTGGATGGAAAAAATATCAATTTTAGTAAGACAAAAAATCAAATACAAAAAGGTATTGAAACCAAATCACAAGAAAAAAATAATAGTGATGTTTTACTTGAACTTGAATTACAAGAACAGCAAAATAAACATGAAAATCTAATAGAATCATTGAATAAGTCGATCCAAAAACGGATTGAACGGCTTATATGTGAAATACCTTTAAAAGATCAAAAAATAAATAAAGAACTATGTCAAGAAATTGAGGAACTTCATGAAAAATTTAAAAAACTAGATTCGGGAAATTTAAATGAAATAAAAAGAATGATTTTAGAAGATGTTTCTAATAAAGATTATTTACCCCTTAAAATTAAATATTTTAAAAATCTTTATTGTTCATTTAATCAGGATTTAATACCCTTTTACAATAAATTAGACCAACTAAGCAATGATTTAACGCTAACAAGTATACAACGAAAATTGAATGAAGAATTTTTAAAAAAATTAGATAATTTATTGCTACAAAAAAATAATGAAGAAATTCGGGAAGTACATCAGCCAGTCAACAGTAAAGTAATACACACGGTTAATGAAGAAGAAGTTGAAGAAAAAGAAAAATTGAAATTAAAAGATGAATTAAAAAGAACTGCAGAATTACGAGTGAATGATGAAATTAAAAATAACAAAAAGATCAAAGAAAACGAATCGCAGCTAAAAAATATCGATGAAAAAGAGAAGTATAATTATTATGACTTAGTTATACAATATAACCAAGAAATGTCACAAGAATTAAAAGAACACAAACATGTTTTTGGTAAAAAATTATCAGTTGACTTCTATGATGATGCAGTAAAAACATTTATAAACAAAACAACTCAAGATGCATTAAAAGAAAAAATATGCAAGGAAGGAATAGGTATTATCGATCAAACACAAAAAGAGAGTAATAAAAATGTGCATTTTCAGTTAGAATTTTACAAAAGTATAGAAGTTGAAGATAATAATTTACAGGAAAAAAACGAAAAACAATTAAAAAACCATCTTGAAGGAGAAACAAACAAAGATTTCGAAATAAAAACCAAAGAGATTGGAACAGAAGTACAAGAAGATTCTGACGTGGAAATAGAAAATTTTGAAGAAAAATTACAAGATTGTTCTGAATTTGCAAATGATGAAAATTTTAAAGTATTACATGAAAATACAAAATTAAAAATTGGGGCATTAGAAAAACCAATAGTAGAAGATTCTGAAAAACAAGTACAAGAAGATTCTGATGTAGATATCGAAGGCTTTGAAGGAGAAATACTTCAGGAGTTTCCTAAAGTTGAAATTGAAAATTTTGATAATGAATTACAGGAAAATTCTGATGTGGATATAGAAAACGTAAGTGAAGAAGAATTTAATGACTTAAATGAAGTAGTAGAAATAGTTGAAGATATAGAAGTAGAATCTAATTATTCTAGTTCTTCTGTAGACAATTATACTCCATCGGAAAAAACAACTACTACAACATGTGATGAATCCGATCTTAAAATTAATCCAAATTCTAAACTTAAACATAGCGAAAAAGAAAATTTAAAAATTATAGACGCATCTAATTCTACAATATTAGCAGATCATATTAAAGAAAAACAAACATTTTTTGAACTTAAACATCAATTAGATGAATTATCTCAAGAATATAAAGCTTATATGCAGCAAAAAGTTTTCAATGAATTAGAACAAGAAATAGATGATAAACAGTTGCAAGAAATAAAAATATTTCCAGATACGTTTAATGAAATGAACTTAAACACTAATGAAGATTTTCAAAAAGAAATTGATGAATTACAAAGTGAACTATCTCAATTAGAACCAGAATTTATAAGTGATGTACCATTAAGTTTTGATGAAGACAACTCTCGCAAAAAATTAAAAGAAAAACCATACAATTTGTTCGAAAAATTACATTTTATTCATAGACAACAATTATGTAAATTTGCCAATTCCAAAGAGTGGCCAGAGAATGTAAATAAATAGATATTTTTACTATTTATAATAATTAATAACAATTAAAATCGTTTTTAATATTTTATTTTAGTGTTTTCAACCATCGAGTTTACTGGACGTTTTATTTGATGACCCTACTGAATTCAAACCAAACGTGTTGGTGCTTATATTACACTCTATAGACAAAGGTTATTCAATAAAAATTAACACAGACAAGAACTCGAAATCACCGAAAGAATATTTTTTCAATTATTTTAAGGATACAATATTAGAATACATGGAAAATGAACACTTACCACCAGATTTGTTGGATTTATTAGATAGCGCTGAGCCCAGATTGTTTTATTCTGGTTGTGTTATAGCAGAAATTCATGATCAGGTCGATGAGGTTCCAGGCCGGGTGTATAGGCTATTATTGCGTCCTTTCAATATGGTGAGCTATTTTAAAATTTAAACTAATTATAAATATATTTTTACATTAAGTATTATTTTTGTTACAAACGTTAATCTGTTATTTAATTACAGTCCATTCAGAGTGATATAAACCGTATAATTGCTAAAAATAGCCATCCCACTAACACTAATTATTGGTCATATAAAAAAAGACTAAAGCTAGAAAGTATATTGCTTAAAAAATCTTATCCAGTTATGTGTATGGATTCATCACCTATTACTGGTCTAGTAGTTAATTTACAACATCAAATGTTAAGTTGTCGTACTATAGTACTAAATCCACTTAAGAGGAGAAATAACTGTTCAAATCAAAAACCATTGAAAACAGATTTGCACAATGAATCTAATGACAACATAAGTACATCAATGTTGTCAAATGAACCGCAAAAAGAATCTTCAAAATTAATGGTTAGTTGAAAAAATATTTTATTATACTTAACAGAACTTAAAATTGTATAGTATAACCATTGTATTTTTTTGATTTTAAGTAAATAGTTTTGATGAATTTTAATTTTATTTATTTATGTTTAGAATACTGAAAACATGAATTCAAACTATATCTTATGGAAATTTGATTTTCGTGTAAAATCATTAAACCTTTTAAAATTGTTTATAATAGTTATAACAGAAACTCTAGAATTGTCTTTGTTGTTATGTACAAATTCAAAGGTCGATTCTATTAAAAAAATGCGGTACAAAATTTTTAATGATCAATTAAAATAGAAATATTTCAAAGTTTTTTATTTTTACCTTGTTTACAGGTTTAAAATACTACTTAAACAAAATGAATTGAAAACTTATATTAATATAATGCTAGAAATTCTTCGACAAAAAATTTGCCCTGATATAGAAGTGGTTCGGAGATATAAATGTCGAGATAATTCAGCTCCTCTTTCAATAAGAAATGTTCCATCTCTGTTTAATAATAATATTTATAAAGCCAGTCATGCAGATATTAGTCAGGTAAATTTTATACTATAATTAAATATAATAAAACTTATTTTTCATTTCATTAAAATATTTGGTATTTATAAAAAAACATTTTGTTTAAATTTCAGTTGATAGATATATTTATAAATAATACACATATTAAATATATACCTATAAATAATATGTTAAAAAATATGTTTGAACATAATAGTGAAATGAATAAATTTGAATCTGAAAAAAGTGATTTATCATTTAAGGAAGATAAATTGGCTGCTGATACTTATAAGACTGCTGAAACAAAAGAGAATTCTAGAGTAAGATTACAAATCATAAAACAAATTAATATTATACATTATATTATTAAGGATCCATCTAATATTTATTAATTACTGAAGTATTCAAGACTGTAAATATTACATGTATAAATAGTACAATTTTTACATAGTACCTTTGTAACATTAATTGCAATTAATATAGGTAAAATGTCAAAATAATTGGCATGTTTTAGCATTAATTTTTAATTTAATTTAAAATATTATCAATTAGGTACATTAAAGTTATTTTAAAGTTATAACGGTGATTTTATTTATTATTATTATTATTTAAATAAATCGATGTTTTTAGGATTTAGAAATTAAAAATAGTATGCAGTTTTGTGCAACAAAAAAGTTATCTACAAGTTCAAAAAAATTTTTAGGTGAGTCTAAAAAATATTTTAAGCAAACTATACATGTTAATATAGACGTATGTTTAAAAAGTTTTGGATTAGTTACTATTTTAATAATTTATTAATTAATTTAAATAGTAAATAAATTAAACATTATAAAAATAATATCATGTCTAAAAATATTATTATAAATGTTTAATGAGAGTTTCATCAATATTTTGCTGCCATTTATGTATAAATATTTATAAATAGCTCAAAAAGAGCCAAAATATTTTTAAGATTATAAATATATATATAGAAAATATTCATTTAAACATTTAGTGGAAATTCAAATATCTACAGTTGGATTTTAAAATGCACCAAAAAACTAAATCAATTTTGTTAAAAACTGGATTTGTGTACAAATTTCATCTTTTTCCTAATTTATTGTTTGTTTTTACCAGTTTTTATTTTGAAGAATGGTGGGTATTTATTAATTTTGACCTCTCAAACATATAAACTAGATTCTATTTTCTATCCCAAATCACCAGTAAAATTAAAAACATTTTTCAATTATATATTTGTTTAGTGTTTACAAATATAAAAAAACACACACACACACACACATCATTCTAAAATTAATATATAATACATTCATTGCTTTACTCAGAATTTAAAATTAAATTATTATTGGTAAAAATTCGGTTTGTCTGATTAATAATAAAAATATTTGGAATTTTTACTTTTTACCCTACTAAAGTACCAACTATACCCAACATGCTACCGAAACCACCCTCAAACTTAAAGAATTTTTAGTGCTCCAAAAGAAGATTAAGTAACAGTTAAAAAAATTATTATCTTGTAAAACTAATAAATTCATTGCTTTGCTCAGAATTTATATATTTAAAAAACCAAATGGTATATCCAATAACATTGAAAATGATGGGAATTAATGAGTTTTTTTAAAAATTAAATATTAAATTTAACAATATAATAAATTAGAATTTTATTCTATTTTAACTTAAATTCTATTATAATAAAATATCTTAAAAGTTAGAATAACATAATATCATACTATTTAAATGTATCTTTCTTAATAATTAATTTTTTTTTTTTTAATCTTAGTTAATTATTTACCTTGAATATATAATTATTAATTACATTTTTAATTTTACAGATTTATCAAAAACTGATTTAATAGACAAAATGATAAATATATTACCATTAAAAACTCAAATTATACCAAAAAACATTTTATTGGATGATAATACTATATGTTTGTCAAAAGAAATGACGATCAATATAAATAGAGACTCTTCTCTTAAACCATCTATAAAACGGCCAACACTTGGTAAATTGCTCTGCTCAGAATTTAATATATTCCAAAAACTAAATCCTGCATACTGCAATATTTAGATTTTTTTGATTTTTATTATTAGTTTAAACATTTAAAATATAAAAAATATTATTAAAATTAAGATAACATAATAGTAAAAGTAATATTTAAATTATTATAATTATCTTACTTGGTAATTTTAATATTTAATTTTTTTTTTATAACTGATTATTTAATACTAATATATAAATTTATAAAAACAAAAAACATAAGAATTAAGTATATATTTAATTTAACAGATTTATCTAAATTGGATTCAATAGACAAAATAGCTGATTTTTCATCATTACAAACTCGAACCATATCAAAAGGCATTTTATTGGATGATGATACATCTTTGTTGAAAGAAACGTCAACCACCATAGAGACAGACTCTTCTTTTGAACCATCATTAATAATGCCAATACATGGAATTTCAAAAAATGATAATTTTTCAGATCTAGTCCAAGAAAAAATATTATCAGTATCAAGTAATACTATGAGTCCAGTTTTTAGTTTTACTACAACTACTAAACCATTTGAATCAAGCCCCGTAGTTGTGTTATCAAGTTTATCAAAAATTAATTCACTAGTTACGAGTATTAAAACTTACATGTTACCGATTGAGTCATCAAGTTTGAGTTATATAGCAAAATCTGAAAGCATGTCTTTACAAACTGATGAAAATTTACTAACATTTACTGATGATTGTGATATTTATACCAATATTAAATTATTACCAGTTATGGAACCAGAGGATTTGATCCATTTGACGAGAGTAGATGATATTGCAGTAAATATGTTTTATGGTATAAATCCAGTAACATCCACAACATGTAATGATGATACCATCATAATGAGCCAAAATGAAAATATAGTCGAAAACATTTCAGTTATGAAACATACAAACGAAAATGAAGTTGATTTATTTGGTACAATATACAATATAAATGATAATGAGATGTCTCAGTTACACGATACCACAAATTGTTCAATAGGTAAATAATATAAATATGTATAAGGTTCTATAAAAGTTAGTTACTTAGCTCCTGATTTCTGGTTGATATTAGTCAATGTTATCTGAATAAGATATGTATGAAAAATAAACAAAATAAAAATATTTATTATCATTTGATTTAATCATATTAATTAGTAGTGTACAAAAAATATGTATGTATAAAAATGTTAAATTTTATTATTATTTATTGCATACATTTTTTAATGAAGTGTTAATAATCTGTTTTCCTTAAATAAAATTGAAAAAATAAAATATAACAATATATATTTAGTAGAATTTGATATTTATTAATTAAAAAAAAAATATAATATTTATTTATTTATTTATTTATTTATTTATTTATTTATTTATTACACAGTATAAACTATATCATGAAATATGTTTTTAAATGATATAAATTATCTGTTTGACTCATATTTTGTCATTTATATTTGATTTTAAATAACCAATTTATAATAAGAAAATAATAATTATGTCTTTGAAGCTACTTGAGTTAATTTAATCTATAAGACTATAAGCTTCTATTATAATGCAGATTATACTAACAAATCTAATTTTTTTTGTAATATAGATTCCTACTATATACTATGAAAACATAATGAATTATAGAATATGATAGTCTCCCATTTTGCTACCTATTTGAAATCATTAAATGTTAATTATTTTTGTTTTAGAAATATTAGAAGACAAATACATGTTAAGATGTCTTCAATTATTTCATCAAAAACCAACACTGCCAGATATATCTATTCTGCATAATACACAGGTACTCGTACACATATATTTATTGAAATACTAAGTTTTAGAAATTTAATTTATTGGTACGGTTAAGTTTATCAAAAAAACATATATTATTTTATTAGGAAGTGGGTAAGGATACATGAAAATGCAGAATTATAATTAATTAAGTTATTGTGGGTCTTATAATTTTAAACTAATACTACAATAATTATTTTGAATTTTTATTATTGTTGGTCAGAATGGTCAGATTTTTAAGTAATATTGTAATTTATAATTTTTAAAAATTATGAAACAATAGGTATAGCTATTAAAATATTATCTAAATATAAATAACTTGATAGTATAGTTGCCTAGTTGCATAAAATTTTAGTCGGTTTAATTATCAGTTATAATTTCTGGTAGTAAGTAGTTTTTAACGTTTTAGTATGACACTTGCCATAGATACATCATAAATATAATTTAAATTATTATGGAAAAATATTTATTAAAATTATTTGTTCATATAAATTTACTATTATTAAGTGTTGAAACAATTTAAAAGTTATGAATTTTAAGTTGGCACTATCACTATCATATTCAATTTATAAACGTAAAAGTTTCTAAATGAATCATTTCCTAAAAAAGTGTTCAAGTAAAATATTATACAATCAGTAATCACTATGTAATTTCCTTCATTTTGTTCATAACTTAAAATGAAATTATGTTTTAAGGTATTTAATTATTGTTTTAGGATGAAGCTTATCCAAAACCTGATTTTTCAAATAGTAAGTATAGTTTTATAGTTATATACATTTAATTATTTTTTAGTTAATTAATGTAATATAGTTACTAATTCACATGAATTATAAACATTATCGTGCTATTACATCTTGCAACTCTGTAGTTATGGTTTTGTTTTATTTTAGATTCATTGACTAATAGTGAACTATTGAGTGATGTAAATTCATTATCCAATAAAATATTGTCAACAAGTAATTAGGTAAGATTTACAATTTATTTGTAATTTTGTTACATGTTTTATTATTTATACTAATATTTAAATGGGTTTTTAAATTATTAATAAAATATTTTAATATATTCTTATATCTATACTTATTTACAATATTTTTTATAGATGTTTTATTATTATTATTATTATTATAGTTTATGTGTAAAATATTAATTAATAATAAGTCTTCTTCAACTTAAAACAAGTTTACCTTGGCTACTAATAATCATTTTTATTAATTACCTACCCTAATATTATTTCATATGTTTGTGATATTAATTTATTGAAATAATACATTAATATGTGGTTTTTTTCTAACTAAAATGTATTTATAATTTATTTTGTAGAAAAATGAAGATAAATTTCCAGATACATAAGAGGTATTATGTAAAAACAAGTTAGGTACTCCATAAATGATGGTATGTTAATTTAATTAAGATTTTAATAGCTATGGATTACAATGTTAAATAATTAAAAAAAAAAAATATATTCTGTTTTTATTTTTAATTTATCACATCAACATAGCAGTATAATTTTTCCAATATTAGTTGCAAAACGAATACCATTATTTAATAATTTCTTAATATACATTTCACTAATAATATATGGTATATCAATGAAGTGTGGTGTACCATAATAATAATATTAATAAAAGTATAGGTAGGTGTAGTCTACAATACAAATTTTAATAAGTTCAGCAATTTACATGAAATAAATAATGATTTATAAAAAAAATTAAAATTAAATTAATAAAATGGGAAACGTAAGTAAGTGTTGCTCTACTGTATAGTTGGTGTTGAATCTACTTCATTATTGAGTAAGTCTGTAATATATGTATTAAATTTGAATTCAATGATAAATCATTCCATATTATGAAAAATGATTCTGAACAGAAACAGTTTATATCAGGGACCGCAACAATTTCTATTGAAGTCTGTAAGATTAAAATGATATTATAAAAATAAATAAAGTACGGACAAAAAAAATTTCTGTCTAATCTTTGTAATATAATCCACTTGATGAGATATTTTGATAGTTTAGTTTTTTATCTTCAACGGTTCAGATATGGACTGTGAACTACTAGTTGCCAAACTTTGGTCTATATAATTGATTAATATTATAAATATTTTAATATTCTACTTCAATAATTTTTCTGGAATACAGAAAAAATGAATCTAGTTGATATTTTGGAAGATTAAAGGAAAATATTCCCAATCATTTTCATAGTAATTTGGAAAAACATAAAACAAAAATTATACAATTATAAATTCTTTAGTTAAAAATAAATTAAACTATTCTTTAACGAATATAACCTAATCAGAGTAACTCACTTTAATTATTACCCATAACCACATTGATTTTATAATATTAACACTGGAAAATACATGTACAGATAATATGTGAATTACTAAGAAGTATAAATAAAAAAAAATATTAAGTGGTTTAAAATAATAAACATTGCAAAAATCACAATGATGTGAATATCCTATCTCTAGTAGAGTATGTTAATAGACTACCAGCAACATTTGTATATGTTATATGTGTGTATATATATACAGTTAAATAGTATAGAAATTATAGTAGAGCGCATATTGAGAGATAGTCAATATTTTTCCAATCATAAATAAATAAATAAAAATATAATAGTTTTGTTTTGAACTTTAAGATTTTATGTTAAAATATTAAGTATAATATTGTTGTGTGTTGGACATAATAATAAATTATTTTGATAAGTTATTACTTATAATATCAAAACATCATTTGTTGTGGTTCATAACTAATCAATTTTAATTTTTTTTTCAGCAAGACTTGCAGACAATAATATTGTTTCAATACTACTTAATTTAAAAATAATATATTATATATTGTGGTATAATAGATTTAATCTGTAATACCTATAATAATAATTGTATGTTGGTTTTATTTTATAATATGGTATTATTTCTTTATAGCCAATTAATTCAGAAATGTTTTATAAATATACAATTTTAAATAAGTTTTTGAAAATTATTACATGTATGTTAAAGTTTTCACAATTATCATATACTTTGATATTTTTACGAGTATAATATTATATATTCATTTTTTTATTGTTTTACATTCATACAACAAACATAGAAAATCGATAAAAAGAATATAATAGAATAGAATAGAACATATTTTTACAATGTTCATTTATAATATATTGTATTATATTTTTACATGTACAATTATTGTTAGAAATCAAATTTCAAGATTGAACAGTGACAAAGAGCTTTACAATATCTATGGATATTGATATTGTCGAATTTACAATAAATATATTAAGATGTATTTACAAATTAACATTTATAATATATATTTTTAACCAAATATTAAATACACTCAGTGGTGCAAATCTTCGGAAGCAAAGAAGCACTTGCCTCTTCAAAGTAATTTGGTAATAGGTATGTGCGCATAATATATAGTATATCTTAGCAACTGGAAAAGGTTATATACAATTATATTGTAAATGAAATATCGTATGATTAACTCATTAAGTAGTAAATAGAAGTAATTTGAAATGTTTGGAATTATAGATGATGTGGGGTAGTTGAGTAGGTGCTAGCCAGTAAATTTTTTGGCTTGCTTCCGCAAAGAAAAAAAGATTTGCTTCACTAAATATACTAGATAGAAAATGCTGTTATATTGGTTTAATCCGGACCTTATTTTTTTGGATTCATAACAGATTTATATGACTTATTTAAAAAAAGCATTAGTAATTAGTAATTATTGTTGTTAATTCCATATTGTTTATGGGATGTGTAATCAATATTAGTAATATTGTGAAAATGTATTTTATAATATTCTTAATTTTTAATTTATATTGTATTAAATTTAACTATTCAGGCTTGAGGATCTTAATAATAACTTATTAAATATATTATTATTTACTAATTCAAGTTTTTTATAGTTAAGTGTAATTTAGTAATTTTACTACATTATCATATTTCTTGTGCTTTGATGATGTAAGAAATAAATATTTATATAATTTTTTTAATAACCAGTGTTAGTTTTTATGGTATGAATATTTTATAAGACTGTTAGTGTTATTGATAAGACACTATTAGTTCGATAATTTTATTTTAAACACTTAATAAAAATTTGGAGACACGGATATACAAAAATTCAATAGTTTTTAAGTATTAAGTCCCTGTGTTTTTCTTGATGAGTTATGATAAAATGTTTTTTGTTTAAATTGTTTAATAGATTTTTAAGTGAAACAAATACTATCAACCAAAGCCAATATTGTACATATACAACTTTATATTAATAATCTTTGTAATAAATATTTATAAATAATAAAAAATAATTTTGAACAAAACAAGATTAATTTACTAGATACCCAGTACTTGGTAGTAAAATAATGATAAAATTATCAAAAACAAAAAAATGACTGTAACGTTACAAAGAATTTATTGAAATATAATAAATAATAATATTTGAAACAAATTAGACAAGTTTGATAAATTGTCTTCCAAAATAACACTTTCAACATCTGACTATGAGTCAGATCCTTGAAAATGTTTGTGATTTGACTCTTGTACTCTGAAATCAATTTTAAGAAATGTTGGAAATTTAGTTCAGAGACATTTTTCGATATACAAAAAAAATAATTTTAACTTTAATATAAATAAATAAAAAATGTAAAATCGAATGAATCTCTGTGATGAAAGTGTTCTATATTATCTAAAAAGTCTGACATCTAATTCTTAATACCTATATAAATGTTTTGATTTTTTTTTTTTAATACTTTATATTATATAAAATGATCTAAAATTATTATAGTTTGTCATTAAGGAATTTTATCAATAATTATAAAAATAATAAAATATAATCATTGTCTTAGTAAAATTCTACTGTTCATAATAACTAATAATTCAATACATATTTTTATTTTGGAAATTTGAATTAGATTTTTATTATTAATAATTTTAATTTTAGCTGTGTTTAACAAAAATAAAATATTAATATACCTATTATTATCTGACCAATATATTATATGGCTTGTAGAAAATTTGTATATGTAATAGAAATATATTCCCTAATATTTTAAGCTAGCTAGTAACTACTAACTACTAAATAAAAAGGTAGCTAAATTATTTTTTTGTTAACAAAATATAAAAATAATTGGCTTAAAATAAATGTAAAATAAAAATACTACCATTTACCTCATCATGAGATGATTCATGGACTTAACTGACTAAAGCAATAATCAGAAGTTGCAAAAAAAATATATACCATTGTAAAAATAAACTACTAGTGTAAGCCCTTCTCATAAGTGACTAGTTTCAACGATGCTACTTTAAACATCATTAAATCTGATTTTTTATTCCTAAACCTACGCATTATACACTACTGATTATTGAAAAAAATTTGAGTGAAAAAATATTTATTTTTTTTTAAAAAAAATCAACAAAAATGATATAATTTGCTTTGTACATATATAAAGTTACTTTAAATAAATAACATGGTTACTCTTCTTTACTTCACTAAAGAGTTAAGACAAATAACAAATTAAAATATTAATTTAGTACTACAGAAAATATTTGAATACATATCAACATAAAATAGTTATTAGCATAAAAACAATTAATTCATAAAATGTTATAATAAAACTTCTGTTAATGAATTAAACCGTCCGTAGCAAAATAGTATTAGTTATGCTCTAATGTTTCCAATAGTTCAGTTTTCATAAAGACAAGAATACAAAAAAAAATAATTTGGTATTAAAATGCACAACACGTAGTTACTATTATCATCTGAGTGTCCCTATTAGTATTTTAAGTCAAAAATAAACAAAAATACATTAGTACAAATAAAAATGAAATTTATTCAAATATTTGTATTAATTGAAGACTATTTGATTTCAAACAAATATAAATGTACTTGTATAATATTCTTACTTTAAAATAATATGTGGTTTTTTAAATTATATACATAAATAGAGATTTAATAATAATAAAAAGGAATAGATGACTTATAAATTATTATAAAAATATATAGAATAAGATAAAAGATAAGTAACAAGATTAGATATAAACAACTAGAAAACTCTGACAAAGAAACTCAATAGAAAGTTGAAAGACTCATATCAATGTTATTAATTATTATGATTATACATAAACAAACCCAACAACATTCAAGAAATACAAATTATAATTAATTTAATATAAGGACAAATTCCAAAGAAAAATTTGATATTTAAAATTTAATTATGATAAAGTTATTTATTAAGTAATTACTTTTCTTTTTTTAATAGTGTTCCATATTTCACAATAGCTTAGAATAATGGTATAAATTATTATTTTTTTGACAAGATATAATCATAAATATAAATAAAATTAATGCACACATTCCAAATTTAATGAAGAAAATTAACTAATGATAGACTATTGAAATTCAAGAACAACAAGGTTATGATTTTTTTTTATTTCCATAAACTAAGTAAGCTTTATCAAAATATTGAATTCTTTATTTTTTTTTAAATATTTCATTCAATGAAATTTTACAACTTGTATTTAATTTCTATCAAATTATTATTTTTCTTCATTAAAAATGGAATGTGTTTATTTGTTTAAGTTATAATTTGATCATAAATTCTTAAAAATGGATATAAATATATAATGATTCTATTCTTTTATGAAATATAGAAGAATATTTTTACAACAAAAATAAGTAATTTTTTAAATAAATTATTTCATGACATAGTTAGAGCGTCATAAATGTGAATTTTTACTTGGAATTTCCCATCTATTAATTTTATTATATGTGTTCTCTCATAGTTTATATTTATCTAATAACTTTTTCCACCATTATAACTAAGATATGAATATTTTTCAACTCTTTACCGTTTTTCTCTGCCAAAGTTTTCTACTTGCCGTATATCTAAACGCCTATCACACTTCTCTATCAAATCCTTTACATGACGTTTTGAACTTAAATCTAAATCTGAATAATATTTCTATCACTTCACTGATTTTTTTCATCTTCTGAATTTTTATGGAGTAAAAATAATTTTGTTATACTTGTGACCAAACTAACAATACCTATAAATAATAAAAAAAATAATTATAAATAATAATATTAGACTTGAAGTAACATTTTAAATCTTAAATTATAATATATCATAACAAAATTGATCAAAATATTAAAATATTATTACTAATTTATCTTATTTCAATATGGACCATGATTTAAACTACCAATAACAATTCAACAAAATTAAATGTATAATTCAAAATGCATTAAAATAAGCTTAATAAGGCAGAATTATAATACAGTATAGTCACTCATTAATTTAAAAAAACTCCATAAATTGAAATAAACACCGAGTACCTTGAAAAACCTCTATAATTAAAAGAAAATACATGTATTCTGGTCTTCTCGAAAATTCAAAATATCTATCGGTGAAACACACTCTACAACTCGAATTTCCTTAAACGCAATGATATGTATATGTATATATAATGTACATACATACAAATATTATGTCCAATCTATTTGATGTACTCTTAATAAAACTAATATCAATGGTGGTTAAATATTATCGTAGTTTATAAACGTTATCGTACCTCAGCTACCTAATCTAAACTTTTGTCAGAATTACGTCAATTTTTGAGCAATCTGAAATGGACGAAAAAAGATGGGATACGATTTTTATTGCTATCATTAAGTTAGATAATGCTATGGAATAAATTGTAGCCAACAATTTGTCATAGAAAAAATAACAGATTTCTTTGATATGTAAAATATAATAATATAATAAATAAATGTGAAATATAATACAAAATATGTATGCATGTATAATAAATATGTAGATTTAAATATTTATATTTAATTATAATATATATACATAACTAGTTGTTAAAAATGTATATTATTTATTTAACATTTTCATAAAAAAATGTCTTGAATTTATTGAATTATGAAATAAAAGATAATATTAACAGCAAAACCTATGCAAATGTTCATTTAAATTTAAGATTGGATGCATGGACCTCATGTAATAGTTTTATTATGTGCCACCACTGCTATATTTTTCAATAATAAAAAAAGTACCTATATATTTGTCAAAAGATCCAAACCCTGGACTATTCCATAACGTTTACTTCATTAAATAAATATTTAAATTAATTTGAATTGATATTCGGATATAAAAGTTACATATGTGTAAATTCATAAGATTAGGTTAAAATATATTGGTTTGAATATTTTTATGATTAAATATATTGCTTTAATTTACTTTAATAAAAAATTCTTCATAAAATTGAATTAACTTACATATAAAATGAAAGAGAACTGTTATTGCAAATATTATAACTAAGTAATAACAAACAAGAAAAACAAGAGACAATGAGAATATGTGCCAAGTATGTACCTAATGACTCACAAATTCTTGTTATGTAGTCTAAACAATGAAAATAATGTGTTAATTATTATTATATATTATATTAGTTACAGATTTAAATAAAAATAAAAAAACAAGGCAGTTTGCTTAACTATGAAAGTATTTTGGGTACTTGTCCAATATGCTATATCTACTGCACGTTTGATGGTATAGTGTTAAGCTATCTATAAAAGTATATGTATCTACTATCTACCAATTTTTATTACACCTGTGTATTCTTTATGATTTTTAAATTAAGAATAGCTTTTTCCAAATGTCAAATGCAATTTTACAACCAAGATTTCATCATTTTTCAAGATAGGTTAATCTATTAGTCTGTGTTTGTAAATCATAACATGTCATCAAAGTTATGTGATTACATTTTGATTTAAGTTAAACAACTGTTTATGTTATTATATTATTATGATTTCTTAATTGTTAATAAAAATTATTAGATAATGAGTTATTTGTATAGACTAATAGACTTATGATTCAAAACAAAGAAATGTGTGTATGTTTTTAAAAACATTTGAATCAATCCTAATTGTTAATAGATGACGATATGATAACTGTAAATTTTGGATCAAACTAAAGAACTTATTTTTCAAACTATTAAGTAAAAAAATTATAAATCGATTCAGGGGGCAACATTCAATATCATGAAAAATAGTACTGGAGAAGAAGTTGGGTTGTTAACTTGATTATTAATTAATAAAATGATTATTATTTAAAATATTTGTATTATCATTCATTATAAATTAGTACTTAAAATTGGTGTTATCACATTTGTTATAAGCCAAATAAATATAATTATTGAAGCTAAATTAATTTTTTATAATCGTGTATGAACATAATATAGTATTATAATTTTCAACATAATTAATATTTCACAACTTGCAATAAGATAGCACAAATTATTAATATCTGTATATATTTATTAAACCTATTTTTAATATAACAAAAAAATACAAAATCTACCTTGAATAGTTGAAGTGATTTTTTTAGTTCCAAGTTTCTTTATGGTAATGGCAAGATAGCTGTGTTCAGATAAGATTATCCTGTAATTGAAAAAATATCATGTTTATTTGTCTTCATACAATGGTTAAGTATGTAAAATAAATATTTAAAGTAAATGAAATTGTCAGTGGCTATTCACTAGGTACTTACATGCTGTTAGAACTTAGAAACACCGTCCACCAATCTACGGGAAACGATAATTTTTATACAAAAATGGTATAGATTATGGAAGCGATTATATTCAATGATGAATCCAAATTAACGTCGTCGCCTGACAAATAAATTGAAGTATCAGACGGATGGTTGAAAAAATAAAAACAAGTTTTTCGGCCGGCGAGTAGCAAGCACATAAAATGACAACAGTGAAGACTGTAATACTGTATCGCAGTCAGCAACGATGTCTATGAGAATAACTCTCGTACATCGCTCGAAGCCGATAGGCGACAATGCTATGTCGCCTAAATGGCGGCAAAGCACCAGAACTTAAAAAATAAACACCGGACGTCGGACGCCGAAGCGCCGAAGTGTGTTGTACTGTTGTACATTTGTACGTTTGTCTTTGTAGTATTTGTATTATTGGTCAGACCATTTCAGTACTATATAGCCGCAACGTTTATACCTCGTTAATAGTGTTTGCAACCAAGTAATAAGATTGATAGCAAAAATACACGGTTATTTTTGAAAACGTCCAAACATACTGCTCTCGTTGTTCCGCCAGATACGCCGAAAGCTATCAACCTGCACGTCGCCAGCGACGTCAGCTGTTACGATTTTTTCAAACAAATTCCAAATATCCAATTATTCCAATTAGAAAATGCATATTATCTATTATCTAATACCTATTCCTGTAACTAATAATATTTAAAACTAGTTACTTAATATTAATTAATGGTAAGTATAGTTTACCATAGGTACCTATTATAATCAATGATATTTGTAAATCAATTTTTTTGATTGTTAATCATGTATTCTGTTTTATTTTTTATTAAATAATAATTAAAATATATTATGGTTTTTTAATTCCTAGTTGTCATTGTTATATATCAATTAGACAAATTATTCTGAGGTCGTGTGAAAAGTTTTGAGTGTCATGAAGAAATTAAGTCAGAATTATGAATTTTTTTACAAAATGTATCAAAAAAAAATATGAATAGAGGCTGTGTAGTCTATTTTACAAAGTACTTTATGTCTATGCAGACAATTTGTGTTCAGCAGTTCCAGTTTTGTGCAATTATCTTTTTACTATATTTTAATTTTTAAGTGAGTGAGTTAAAAGAATTTTTAAATTGTAGCATTGTACAACACTCATAATTTGCCAAAAATATTTAATATTGTTTGAAATTCATAAGAAACTGAGAAAACATAAATGATATGCTCGTTTTGAAGTTTTATAATAGGTTAATTATTTCTTAATATTTAGAGAATGCTATACCCATGTATGTTGTTTATATCTTCCTAATGTACCTAATAAATTAGAAATTTATATACAATTATAAATTCTAAAATTCAGTTAAAATTTTGGTTTAGTTTTTTCTTTAGTAATTTGTTTATAAATTTATATTTTTGCCCTTTTGATATTGTATTTGTTGTATCTAGAAACAATTAATTTCTTATTAGTTATAAAATTATGTTTGATCCAGGATATTATGTTTTTAATATAATTATAATTTGTAATAATTAAAAAAAATGGCATTTTTGTAAAATATGAATATATACTGGTTATTTATTTAATTAATAGGTACTACAAAGTATTCACTAAAAATGTATATACACATCTTTAATAGTTTTTTTTTAATTACCTTGAGTAAAATTAAACAATATAAAAATCAAACATTTTATTAGGTGAAAGTATGTTAAAAAAAGTGTCAAGGTCATAAACACAAAAGAAAAAGTAGATATCTATCTAAACTTCAAAGATATTTATAGGTAAACTACAATCTAATTATGTGTCAAGCTATTATTAATAAATTTAATTATGTTAAGTACAATTATGATTTTTATTGGGTTTGAAAATATTATTTACTTACAAATTTCAGTTTTTCAAATGAAAACCATTCTTTTTTACAATAAATTAGTATAATTAATATAAAGGTGCTTACTTTAAATTAATTTTTTTTTTATTTATTTGTCTAAGTATAAAATGTTAATAATTTGTTTCTGAGTTCTTAAGATTTTAAGATTTTAATCTAGTATCTACTATCTAGGTACCTACTTATAATACTTATTAGCCAATTTTTATGATATAATTATATATTTTTATCAAATAAATTAAAGATAAGTAATAATTATCATAGTTTCTATATCTTCTAAATCTAATATCATAGAATTATTATCTTTAGTATATAAAGTTAAATAACTCAAAATTTACTTGGTTGAATTTGGGTTTAGTTACAATTTCATTAAAATAAAAAAAATATTATCTTAATAATTATCTTATATAAATTCTTAAATTTGATTTTTTATTAATATTGTTTTAGTATCAACAAATTAATGTAAAATACATATATACAATAATTTAAGCAAAAAAATTTTAATTTATAGTTAGAAATTTCTCCATACTGGTCATGATTATAGAAGCTGTAATTTAATTTTGGGAGCTGGTCTTAATGTGGTTTAATTTTAGAGGTATTGGTACTACCCATTGATTTGGATAATGCTAGTACTAACAACATAATTCATCAACATTTAAAATAGCCAAAATAGGACTTAGGCAATTTAATTAATTATGTATTTAAATAAACTTTGTATCCATATAATTAATTTCATATGTAATCCAATTACTTTTGTTATAATTGAGTTCAACAGTTAAATAGATAACAACTTGTAGGCTACAGTACAGTAAGGAAAGATAGTGAAGTCTGCATAATAAATGAAAAGGTCTTCATATATCATGGTGTTGGGCGATAATATTAATTAATATCATTTTTTGAAAGTCAAAATTAAAGAAAATTAATGAGATAAACTTCAATTCAATAATTTAGTATCTTCAAAGTAGGAAAAGAAAAATTATAGGTATTTTTAACCAACCTAAACCTGTCAAATGTATAAACCTTGGGATCTTAAAGTGGAACTTAAATATGTAAATTATATATTCACCATATTATTTTTGATCGGAGTATTTACAAAGCACAATTTTAACAAAACATTATTAGCTTTAATAATTTTCACTTATTTATAAATTACTGAAAGTTCACACAAATAATGACTCAAGACATATTTTGTAACTAATGATTATCCTATATTCTTATTATATTTCTATTATTATTTTTCAATAGATATAAAATATTTTTTACTTAATATTACTGTTATTATATTATTTAAATGTAATTTTATTACTATTCTTTTTTTTAGTTCCTTTTTACAAATTTTTAAACATCTATCTATCTATATAAATAAATTACAATGATAATAATGTCTTACGTGAACATTAAAGTATAGGAATACGCTATAGGTAGGTACATCTGCTTAATTAATTGACCATACATTTATTTATTATTAAAATTTGTATTTATAAGTTAATATCTGAAATCGATTTTAAAATCAAAATCAGATTTTGTTTATTACGTACTGATTTTGAGCTTTAACGATTTAAGTTTGTGGATTTATCAGTTTTTAACATAATACTATATATACGCAACACAAATTTTGTTACAGACATAAATAAAAAAGACGTCATTATAAAACCATTATATTCTCATTTTTGTAAAAATCTAATAAATAATATTTGATTTATTTACAAGTTTCATAAGTTCCTATTCAATTTATTAAAATTTACAATAATGTTTGTGTTTAATTTTTTTTTTTTTGATTTAATAAACAAAACATTATTTTCATTTGTATTTAATTATGTGAATACTTAAATGTCAATTGTTTAAAATAGTTATTTTATACTAGTAATTTTTAAATTTTTAAGCTTGATTGGCGTTAGGTAACTATTCATTTTGTGGTTAATTGCGAAAAATTGCAAACTATTTTATAGTTATTTTTTAGTTAATATTTAAAAAAAACTTTACTTTTTAAATTAAGTTTTGAAAATTTTACACAAGATTTTTCATAAGTAGGTCATATTAAAACCATAACATTTAAAAAAATAAAAAAATGTAACTTTTTTATAGCATTTTAAAGTTCAAATTTGGACAAAATTACTTATTTAAAAGATAAATAACGATGTTAGTTATTTTGTTAAAATTTAAAAATATTATTCATAAGTAGGTAGGTACTAACTACTAAGTACTTTAAACTTTTACGTATATTGTATTATTTTTATTTATTTATACTATTTATTATCGTATTTTACAATACGTGATGACAATTTTTATTTATTTTAAGATAATATAATCTATTATTATATGAATCTATTTTTATTATTTTCTGGTATTTATAAAAAGATGTTATTACATTTTAAGTTAAATATTTTAGGAAAAAAATATATCAACCTTCTATAATATTATAATACTAAAAGTAAAACAAATTATTTTTATAGCTATATCAAAAAAAACATATCACTTTGTGATATAGGCCATAGATCATTTCCACTCAGAATCGTTTTTCGCACTCAATAATATTTAATTGAATTAAAATTTAACAGATCTATATTAGTGAGCCACTCGACACCGCGAATGTACAGCAAAACGGTATCCACTTATCTACCTTTTTATTATTATTATAAGTAATTTAAAATTTTTGTTGTTATTAGTAGGCATTGTTATGTTTATAAGTGCTGTAGAGCACAAACACTAAATACATTTTAATTATTAAAATGTACATGACAACAATAACCACTTGTTTATTTTCTCGGTTGGAGCTACTCTTATAATTCGTTTGATCAGTCGAATTATTCACACACAATAATTATTATACATTAAATTTAAAATATCATGTTAAATTTTCAAATCTATACAAAAAATTGACGCCTGTATTGACAGGTTATTAAATTTTTTTAGAAGGAATTTTTACAACTAAGTTACGATTAAAAGAATTAATGAGCAAATAGTTTTTAAAATTGATTGAAGTACCTACTGTTAAAATAACTTTGCATTAATTTTAAAAACTTAATAGCCTTTAGTTAGATATAAGTATATGTAAAATATTAAATGAAAAGTTCGTGTTTATATTGTTTTGCGATGTATAATAGGAGAACAGTTGTAAATGTATGCAATAAAAAATTATTTGATGATTTGTATATTAACCAAAAGTATATTAGTAATACTTATCGTAAGTACATTTCGTTTAAAAATATTTATATTTTATTATTTAATTATTAATATAGTTAAATCCTTAAATAGGTATCTCGTGTCTATAAATGACAACATTGATAATTCATTAATAGTTTAATTTAGATTTAAATTAACTTCATTGTTTTGTTTTGGTAGACACGATAGAATGCAATTATAACTAGTTTTTTTATTATTGTTGGCTTTAGGCTAGAGACAATAAATGAATACAAATTGTCATTATTCAAATAAAAGTCAGTTTTGAAAGATTGGGAATAAAGTTTAAAAGATTAAAATGTATAAAGAGGGGGTACCAACCAAAAGTTTTTTTTAAATATAATTTATAATTTATAAATTTTAATTTTATTTTTATCGTTTTCTGGCGAATGATGGCTGTTGCCGAGGAAGATGCTAACGCAGTTCCCTCTGTGTTGTATTACAAATGAAATAAAAACGTTAGTTGTTATAATAGGTATATCGTATAATATAATAGTTGCAACATGTCAGATGAGGATCTGAATACGAATGACAGGATGTTTAACGCGATGACTGATTCATTATTATCAATTGTTATCTATAGTTTGGTAGTTTAGATTTAGTGTACATAATATTTTGTACTTAACATTAAATACATGTGTAATATTATATATTTTATATATTTATTAATATGTATATATATTCAGCATCAGCCGCAGAGATATTTTATTCGTTGTAAAAATAATTGTTTTGTAAGAAATAATATAAAATTATAAACATAAAGTAGTATAAAATAGCCGATTCAATAACCTCTTCCTCTTCATGAAGAGGGCCCTTTTCCACTTTTCACCTCTATCAATGCTGTCGCCACCTGCTCTCTACCACACACCCACACACAACACTGCAATCAGCACCGCCGCCGCCCGATCCTCTACATGTGTGACGTATTCACCCCACTCTCACACCATTACCAGATCAGTAAACAGTCACCACTGCCACCACGCTCACTTCACATGTGTGAACAGCATTTTGGAAAATTATAGTTTAATAAATTGTGTTTGTACAATTTCTTAACATATAACTATATATATATATATTACTGTAAGTTGAAATGCTTTATTGTTGGTTTTAAAACAATAATATAGTCCTGCTAATAATCAGTACCAAGATACTTTGGTATTTGGTATTAACTTATGTATAAAATTATGAATATTGGTGGTGATTACTTACCTAGCCTAATTTATTTGCTTACATATGTGCCAAATTTATTAGAATAAAGTATAAACTATTAATGTTTAATATTATTTGTTATAGTTTCAATAAGCATCAAAATGGAATATAGGAAAAACATTGTTCCAGCTGGTTGGCAAAGCGATGATGATGAGTATGATGAATTTGGTGATATTATTGAACGTTCAACATATCATGTTAAACCAGAAGCAGAAGATTTTGAATCAACATTGATAAATGCTTGTGTAACAAATAACTTATCAGAAATCACCCGTGCCTTAAACTCAGGAACTGTTAATGTTAACAGTTATTTGAATAATAGTTGGACTGCTTTGATGAATGCAGCATTTAATGGATCTTTAGATGCTGTAAAATTTCTTTTACAGAATGGTGCTGATCCATTAATTGATTATGACAGTCATAATGTTATAATGTGTTTATGTAATTGTATTAGAGTTTCTGATGAATTAGACTTGTTAAATTGTGTAAAGCTTTTAGTAAATTTTGATGAAATTGACATCAACTCTAAAGATAGAACAGGGTTGACTGCTCTTATGTATGCATGCAGCAATGGTTGGTTGAAATTGGTAGAATTTCTAGTCAATCATGGGGCAGATATGGAGTTGAGAAATTATCAATTTGGAGAGACAGCTTTGTTTTTTGCAGTACGTTACAACCATGTTCATATTGTAAAATATCTATTATCAAAAGGAGCTGACAAAGATGTCACTAACAAGAAACGTCAGACAGTGTATGAAATAGCTAAAAATAAAAACATGGTTGCTATTTTAAAGTTATTAAATAAAGATTATGAAAATGAACAACTAGAAGATTATTATTCAGAAGAATATTCTTACTGGGATACAGTTATGACTGAATTAAAAAATGGTTTTAGTGAAGACGTCAAATCATTTTTAGAAAGATTATCAATGGATATCTATGTAGACCATCTAATTTCCAATAATGTTACTTTTAAAAATTTACTCTCTGGAAATAATAATCAATTTGTTGATATGGGAATCATTTTATCACCACATCGTGAGCTTTTGGCTAATGCGCTTAAATGTTTTCATACAGAGAATTGGAGTAATAATTCTTTACGTGTTAAAAGTAGTGATATTAATACTGAAAGAATTGCTCATATATTAGTGATAATAGTAAGACAATTACATATATTAGATGCTTCAATAAAATACTTAGGGATGCAGAGTAATGGTTTGGATCAACAGGAAGGTCAAGAAGCCATGAATAATTTGAAAAAAATCATAATTGTGGAAGATAAAATATTTAAAATATTAGACCAAAAAGTAAGAAAAAGTCAAGTGGATTACATAGGACATAAGACTTGGAGTCAAAACTTGAAAACAAACAGAGATAAGTTGTTTGCTAGTGCTACTGTTATTTTAGTATTATTACGCATAATTTAAATTTATTTTTCAATTTTGTATTTGATTGATTTAGAAAATATAAAATTTTGTTAGTATTATAAATTTATTAAATGTAAAACTTACCATAAATTCATTATTGTTTTTTTTCTCTCAGATTATTAAGTATAATTATGTATTTTAATTACATTTTATTATTTTTGCAGTTTTAAGCTAGTTTAAATAAACTTATATCCAACTGAAAGTTATATTTACAATGTGAGTCTAATTAATAATTGGTACTAATTGTGTGCAGTAATATCAGTCCATGGGTGCAACTAAAGTAATATTTTTGGGAGGGCTAAAATTGTTATAAACTAAAATGGACTGTGGAGGCTTTATTCCATATTTTCAATAACCCAAATTATAATTTTATTATTTCAAAAACAATTCAATATTTAAAAATGTATTAAATTATAATAAAAGTTTTTATTTTTACTATGAAATAATTTTTTAATTAATGCTAACTCATTAAAAATTGTTCCTGTATTTATTTTATTTATTATGCACATTTCAAAAAATTGGATAAAAGTTTCCTTTATTTCATCTGATATATTCTAAGTTAATTTTTACCTTTTCATGGCTATCATATGTTGCAGAAGCAATAGATATTGACATATTAAGTTGGTCACTTGATTAATTTTGTATACGTTTGAATAGACTTAATTATTTATTTCTGTTTTCAAATTGTTAATTTATGATATTTCTTAAGTATTTTGTTTAATATGCGAAATACAATTTTTTAAAGTATGATTAAAACACCATTTTTTTAAATTAACTATTATAAGATCTATGATATGTATGTACTATGTATGTGTAATATTATTATCATTCTCTGGTGTACTTTAATTTTAGTTCATTAATTTATAATTTTATTTTCGATGCCTTATGTTAAATAACTAATAAAGTACCTATACTGATTTAATTTACTTGGTCGACTCATTAATGTTTAAAATCTAAATTAAGTATTGACAATGTAAATTACTTTAATATTTATTTATTAGATAAAACATATATTTATGGCTGAAATTTGAAGATCATTTTCATTATCTTTTGAAAATTGATCAATTTTTCTTAAGACAATAAATGAAAAATTTAAGAGTGCTAAGCACTCTCAAGTCAGCTCCTTAGTTGCGCTCATGAATATCACGATTATGATTTTTGTGCCTAGGGTATTTATATTTTAATGTAAAAATGTTTGAAATAGTAAATTATTTTTCAATATATAAATAAGTTACAATTTTGAATAACTATTTTATTGAGTGGTAATAATTTTAAATACAATGTTTTGGTGGTATTGTGGTAAATTGTAATATTATATTATATTCTAATGAATATCTTAAAATGCCTTATTTTAAAAATAGTAACTAAAAGACAATTATATTATTTATAATAAATAAAGATAGGTAGGTATAATACATTTCAGTTGTTATTAAATAATAATATTGCTTTAGTAATGCTATTTATATTTATTTATTCCTCAGAATAATATCTTGTTCACTCTGCAGTAATCAAAATTTGAATAAAATGCCTCATTTACCCACTTTGGAAAACAATTTTCTCAATGCGTTACACCGGCTCATTTTTTAGCATACATGTTACATCCAAAATATAATGGAAATGGCTTGACTGTAAACCAAAGAAAAGAAACTAGAGGTTGGTTACCAAAAATATTTCAAACGAATTTATTCCTTTCATTATTCAATTTGAAATTCAATCAGATATTTATCCAAAATCTTACTTTGAAGAGTCAATGCTAAATATGTCACATATTGATTGGTGGCACTCATTAAAAAAAATCTCTAATTTACCTAAACCATTCTCAAGATTTACAAGTCACTTATTTCGTTGTGTTGTATCATCAGCAGAGATTGAACAAATTTTTTCGGATTTCAGTTTGATTCAAAGCAAATTACGCAACAAATTGGGCCTTGAAAAAGCTGGAAAACTAGCATCATGTTATAAAATGTTAAACTGTATGGCAAACGAAAAAAATAATTATGATGTCAATGAATAAAAGTAAAAATTACTTTATAAGTTTTATAAAATGTTTTATGTTATGATAATTATTTAAAATATCTTAAATCCAAGTTATATATTTTATATTTTATATTTATTAATAAGTCAAGTTACACATTTAAAATTGTTATACTTGTAGAACTTAAATTTAATTAAATTTATTTATTTATGATAAAAATTATGATATTTTGGTTTTGTCCAATATGTCCAAATAAGTATATTATTTTGATTATGTCCTGGACATATTTTGTTCAATTTTATCCCCTATGACAATACCTTATCAACCCTGATCTAAACATATTGTTTTATTAGGAATTAAAATATTTATTTTGTTTATTAATATTGCGTGTTCTATAAAAAAAAAAAAATTGAAAATTTTAATTTGTTTTAATTATACGATAATAATGTACCTAGCTTCTGTGTTATTAAATTTATAATTTTTTAAATTTTTAAACCATAATATGGTAATATATTCGGGATGTTACAAAACCTTAGGACATTTTGCTTAGAACAACAAATCAAAAGAGAAGCGTTACCTAAAATATGCACTGGATGAGATAGAAAAAAATAGCCCATAATTTCTTGTATGCTGAAGTTCATATTTCAACCTTTCATTTAATAAAAACTTAATAATTGTATGAAAACACGAAAATACAAATAATAATGTTTTAAATATTGCTATAATACATTACTGGAGAGATAACAAACAAAAAATAAAAATAATAATTTTAGAAAACAATCATTGTACATCAATAATAATAAATCAAAAATTATCACTATTGATCTTATATAATATATGTATGTACACAATAATATTTTTTTTATTATTATAAAACGCATAAACCAATACCTTCTTAGACCAGGGATCTCCAAACTACGGCCCGCGGGCCGGATGCGGCCCCCTAATAAGTTTTCACCGGCCCGCCAAATAACGGAAAATATTCTAAAAATATATATACCTAGTTTTCATAGTCGTTATCGTGCGCACTAGCAATTATCAGCTGTATTAGCTGTAATTTATAAATTATATACGAAAATTAAATGTATTCATACATTTTGGCCTGCTAAGAGCTTTTTTTATTTTATGTGGCCCTCGGATAAAAAAAGTTTGGAGACCCCTGTCTTAGACGAATGTCACAATCGCTTAAATTTATCCATTCACAACAAAAAACTACATTCATTAGATAACTGTAACATAACAAATTTAGTAGAAACATAAAATAATGACTTAAGCAAAACACCAACTACTTGGTACACTTAGTTTTTCCTGGATTGTAAACATCTGTCGACATCCAAACCAGCATTAAAATCTCACGTGTTTTCGAGTCATCTGTATTGGGCCAAGGGTGAAGATGTAATTTTTTGCGAAGTAAGCAGAATTTATATCAGAGAATAATGTTACAGACTAATGGATGAAAACAAAGAAAAACTATCAGGTAGGCATAAATGAACAAATTTTTATAAAATAAATATTTGTAAAATTAACTAATCTAAACAAATTTTTAACGAAATGTTAAATTATAAAATTAAATGAAATGTATATAACCATATTAATTAGTCCATCATTTTCATCAACTACTTGGCTTGTTGGCGGAGATTCAATATATTGAGGTGATGTATATCATGGAGGGTACTATGCACAATTGTCAGAATCTTGTCTATGACTGTCTGTGAGGTTAATGGTAGACTGCTAAACCCGTCGTTAGGCTAGAGAATAAAATAATATAAATAATTTATTCATAATAATTGTATGATTTGTATATTACCTTCCATTTAGTGTTATGGATTGGTACCCATGTTGCCTGCATGGGAATTTTTTTCACTATAAAGTTATCACTTTCCTCGTCAGCTCCCTATAAAATTATAATAATCAATACTTGAATTGATTAAATTTATAAATTATAAATTACCCTTGCTTGTAAAAGATCTTCTTCATAATGCATTGGAGACATACATGAATATCTCAGAGGTGATAAGCGTGAAATGAGTCTCACTTCGATTCAGTGAATAACTATAAAATAATAAAATACAATAAATATTTTTACTAGTGATATAATTTAAAGGTTTACCTCTAGTGACATTTCACCATTCTATTGTTGCGCCCAATGTTCAGCTAATTGTGATGAAGCATACATTTTGAGTTGACTAATGAAATTGACATCACTTTTTGGAATTTTTGAAATTACACTTTCATCATGTACATTTTTGATAAATGTGATCATTTCTTCAGGACGTGTTTTTGGTGGTGAATAAACTTTGGTGAATTCAACATCAATATAGTTAAAAACATATCGAATTGTTTTAAGACAGCTGGTTGTGTTATATTTGATTTTCGTGTAATCGTTTCAAATATGCACCATTTCAAATATTGAGGTTGAATAAGGTCCACTCGATTCAAAAGTATTTTGCTCCCTTCATGAGTTTTTGATTTTATCACTAATACTTTTTCACCGCTGTACACCATATTCGATTGTTTATAAAGTTCGGTTTCCAAAAATAATATACGCTTTTATTTTATTGGTTGCTGCAATACGAATGACAGTATATTCCCCATCAGCGAAAATGAACGTTTTACGAAAACCGATGTTATTTTGACGTGTCGCGATGAAGTCACTAAATGAACAATTACTGGGAATTTTAAATTTTTCAGTCGGGTCAATACTCAATATCGACATGCATAGACTTACCTGGTTGTGTGACAACACAAATGTCATTCCAGTGATAATGGATTTTCTATTGTTATGAATGGGTTTTCTAAACTTACTATACAATTTTGTAAATTATTTTACCAAGTATAAGAGGGAACAATACGTTGTTAAAATATTTATTTTTATAATATTCGTCTAAATAATAAGTATACGGTAACGAAATCGGAAATAATATCACGTATCTGATATTATTATGTATGTTGTCATTTGCGCGCGAAAAATGATAACTGATAACATTTTATTTGATAACTGTCAACAGAATTTGTGATAACTTATAATGCTGCTCTCGTATGTGAGGTGGTCGCGGTGCACTGATGATGGTGAAGAGTGGAAGAGGGCACTTTTCATGAAGAGGAAGAGATTTTTGAATCAGCTATTTTATACAATTACATAATATTTTAATTAGAACATAATTTGTGAAAATAGGTCAACCAAAAAATTATCACTGTAG